CCCCAAAACCCCAAAACCCCAAAACCCCAAAACCCCTCAACTATTATAAGAAATTGAAATAAACATGAAAAAGATTCAAAGAAACAGACTTATGAGTAAGCATGGAAGCTCTGATTTTTGACTCTTTTTAAAGATTTATCTATCTAATGAATTGTCTGAGTTGAAAACTTGTAGGTCCTGATCATCTGAGGGAAATAAAACCAATTTTGAATGTATCATACACAAATCTAAGGAAGGCTACTTCGCCGAAAATAGAGGCTAAGAGCTTTGACTCTAGAGGTAGGTTTGCTCAATTTTTTGGAATATTAGTTCAAGTTTAAAAATCTAGAGACTTCAAAGAAAGATAGCAAAAATCTTAAAGTCAGGATATCCTCTAAAAATGGTGAAATGAGTTTGCTTGATGAAAAAGAGATTGAGAAAGCAAGAGATTCGTTAATTGATAAAAGAAAAGAGCTCAGAACTACTTCTCATTGTAAGCTGAAATTTGATCGTAGAGATAATCAGTTCAATTAAAATGGAGAGATTGATTTCTTAATAGCGTTCATCGGATTGACAAATAATAAAAATTATCAACAGAGAAGCAAGCAAATTTTATGGACAGGCAATGGTAAGTTTTGTGGTTTATTTTTCATTAAATTATAAAAACCTTAACTTGAATATTAGTACCTTCACAGATACATCATCGAAATTCTCAAAAACTGTTGGATAAGCAGTTCGATAGAACATTGACTGAAAACTTAGGAAGGTCATTCTCAAAAGTAAGTTTTTCGCTCACTCTAATCATACAAGCCAAAAATCAAGAGCAGAGTTGGTTTTGAATATCGATCCAAAAAGCCGACCCTCTCATGATCCAAAAGCCTTATTAAAAATGCTCCACAGAAGGCTGGATTTAACTTTGACCCAGAAAATACAAGGAATTGTATATCTCCTTCTCCAAGTGATCCTGCAAGAGTAAATTTGAAATCTTCATCTACTGGAGCATTTTCAACTCAGAAAAACTTCTTTCGGACTTCTCATAGTCAAAAGCTTACAAGGAGACTTCAATATGAGATTTCAAGGATCGAAGAATTCCTCGATTCAGTTGACTTAGCAACAAATGGGGGTAATATTGAGCAGTTACAGAAGGCTATTTCAAAATATTGAGAAACAATTGAAGACTTTTCAGATACTATTACAGGTATTCACAATTACTCAGATGGGAATAGTATTCAAAACATTAGTTTTCTTCTTTTATTTGAATAATTCAGAATAATTTCGAAGAATTTGAATGTTGTAAAAATAATTGCTCAAAAACTAATCTTTAAATTTAAGGGTTCCAATTTCCTCACGAAATACCTAAGAAGTTGGGACAACCTCAAAGCATGTCTGGTACATTTTATGGCGATAATGTAATGAGTAAAGCTCCTGGTGTGGAAGGACTTCTCAAAAGAATCTCGAGGGAAATCCAAAATTATGCACTCAAAATATCATCTATATCTAAATAAATCTGAATCTCAGATTACAAGGATCACAGAAATCTGAAATAAGAAATTAGAGGAAAAGAAAATCTGACCTAATTGAAATGGAAGAACCTTCCTAAAGCTCGAAGGTAAGTAGGAGACTTCAAAGTTAGAAAATCATGTTAGCAGAACAAGACAATTCTTGGATTATGTAAATTTAAAGATCAACGAGATCGATAATCAAATGAGCTTGACTGGGTCTACCTATAAATAAGACTGATGTCAACATGATTCAAGAAGGAAGAGATCCTCCTGATTTTATTCTAAAAGAAATAATGTCTTCGTTGATGTTTCTGATTGAGGAAGAAAATATTAAGTATTCAAGCAGTAATTTACCACTGATACATTTAGACGACAAGAAGTATGTAGGAACTTCCTCAGCTAAACTAGACTCAGAGATCTACACAACATATCATGAAAAGATTCTTGACTTGATTAAAAGGCTATGTCTCAAGAAATATTTCGAAAAGGACACAAAGGAAGTTTCTTGTCAAACTGTTAACGTACGTATCCACTCTCCTAACCCTCCTAGATGTCTAAACTTCTTGAACGAAAAGACAGGCACATCGAGTCACAAGAACGTGCTATCGGTATCTTCCTTTTGACCATCTAGAAATGTACCTAAACCAGTGCTTCAAGCTAGAAGGTAGAGCTAGACTAACAATTTAGACAAATGCAACAACCTTTACGGCGAAGTCATGATTCGTAGGAGGAAAGAGAAAGAAATGATAGAGGAAATCCAGAGAAAAGAAGACTCACTTCAAGAATTCAAGGATGAGATCTTTGGAAAGGATAACGCAATTAAGATCCTCATTGAAAGGAGATACAAAATGGATATTATGTAAGTATAAATACGAAAGTAAAGTCTGAATTTTGTATAAGGATAAAGAAATTAGAAGATGATATTTTCATAAAAGAGCAGTTTCTGAAATCACAAAGAGTTCAGCTTGATAAAGCAATAAAGGAGATTTCAAGTTTGAAGGAGAAGTATTCAGTTCATAGTAGTTCAAAATCTATCACAGACTCTGAACAAAAGAACCAGCTAACTCCAGTGTATCTCAAATTCTGATTTTTAGAGATGATAATGGAAAGAGAAGGAGATTTCAGTCATTTAACCCTTTGAACAAAAGATCTTACAGTAGATTAAGTGAAAACTATTCCCAAGCTAGTGAGAGAAATGGAGTCCGATCGCTTGGGAATAACTTACAAAGGTTAGTCAAACTATTTGTTATTTATCTGAATAATCCCCGTGAATCGCATTAATATCATCTTGCTAACTTTACTAACTTCTTAATAGCGAGTCTGATCCCAAAACTCCGATTAAAAGAAACGAAGACCTCAAAAAATTTTCTGATATAGAAGAGAATGTAATATCTGACTTAATAGCTATAGGGAAGCTCTCATGAATTTGAGTCTAAATCATCAATAGAGAATATTAGAAAGCATAGTAAAAAGAAATCTCAAAAATCAAAATCAAGGAAACAGCTGTCTAAATAAGGAAGATGGGTTCAATAAGTAAGTTCTTAATATTGCGCTAAGAAAGATAGAAAAGCTTTGACATTTTTATAGGAAAATTACAGTTAGCAGACTTGATGATGGCAAAAATGATCCATCAATCAAAACTTCACAGAAAGAAACTAGAAGTAAATTTTTCAAAGGACAAAAAAGAAATATGGATATATCAATAGTCTTTAAGAATCCAGAAAGATTTGATAAAGAAGAGTAATTATTTTTGAATTTTATAACATCTCTAATCTTTTGCAGTGATGATTCTTCAAAACAAGCTTCACCTTGCTTCCCAAAACGCAAAAACATACCTCATAATTCAAATCATCCACCCAAACCTTCAAAAATATCGAAAACGCCTCTCAGCATTCTCCAAAAGCCAAAAACATCTCAAAACCCTTCCCTTATCCACAAAACTCGTAAGATCTACAAAAATCCTAAGCTACCCCTTCCATCCCTTGAAAACCCCTCTGCAAAGGCTTTGACCCCTTCAGAACCCTTCAATATCTCTCAAAACTGCTCTTGCAAAGGTACTCTTTGGCTCACCCCTAGGCATATGTCCTCACTTGCTCCGTTCATCAAAGATGTCTAAGTCTAAAAACCCTCGCAAGCTACTCAAGATTGCTCATAAAAGAATTGGCTCTGATATTGCTACCTAAGCGATACAGTTCCAGTTTCAATTTTAAATGAAAGTTTCAACTGAAATGAAGATTAATGGGGTTTTGGGGTTTTGGGGTTTTGGGGTTTTGGGG